CATATAATTGATTGTACATTGTTTTTTTAATAACTTTTTAATAAACAACGAGCGCCGGCTAAATCCTTCTGAGGGTTACTCAGGAGGGTGACCTCTATAATATATGTCAAGCCCAAGGTTATTGGAGGTGGGTGTGTTAATCTAAATAATTACCAAGAGAAAATTTATATCAAGAGGAATCACTTGACCAAATATACTATTAAAAATTTTACAAAGTTTATCAAAGTTTTACCAAAAAGCCTTATTTATTTTTATATGTGCTGTCTGTACTATATTAAAAAATGTATGATATGAGACTGATATAAAAAAAATTAAAAATTAATTAATTCAGCTTTAAACGAATTGTATAAAGTAGCATTTGTAAAAACAGGCAGAGAAATAACAGATTATTTTATGAAATGCATAATGTCTTACTCTGCTGTATTGCAGGATTTTCAAAATAAGTATTAGTTATAAAATTTTTATTTTTATAAATTGGTCTAATTGTTAATTGCTATCTGTATGTAATACATATTCATACAATAGCATCTATTATAAATACATATTTGTAAAGTAATGATTAGATTGCGATACCGTAAATTAGTTATGGATAACGTGCAACTTATTACAAAAAAGGCTGATTGGTACAGTCAGTGAGTCCCAGTTCAAGCCCTCGCGACATACATATATATATATGTAAATTAATGTAAATCGATGGCGATAAGCGAAGACACTCGTAATGTGTAAACACATTATGCCAGTATATTATCTCTGCGTGTTTCGATTTCTTTATTTGGCGTTGATTTACTTTTTGTATTTGTAATTGTGTATATCACAGTGATTAATTTTTATGAAAGTTTAGGTAAGTGTAAAAAAAGAGGCTATTATATAGCTTGTATTTGCTAATATAGCTTATAACTTTACAGGAGTTGTCAAAGATTTTATATTTTATGGACAGGAATCTACCTATGTAAAATTTTTTAATTATATAATTTTATTATGACATATTTGCATTATATATTTATATTTACACACACACGCATGCACACACACACACACACACAAGTATATATTTGAAAAACTGCCACTTTATATAATTAATAATTAGTCATATAAACTGAAAAATATTTACTCATTTCGATTTACGCGGTAAATACATCCAGTACTCTTTTACACAATCTCAGTTTTACGCTTTATTTTACGCGGACAGAAAATGTATCTTTAAAACGAATATAAAACCGCAAAATATTTCTAATAACGAGGGTATTAACTTCGAATTAATGGGAAAAAATTGGTTTGTAATTTGGAATATAGTAGGCAGTGACAACGAATAAAATAAAATTTTTTGAACTTCTATTGTTTTCTTTAATATATAAGTTTAATATTTAAATAGATATTTTTAGAACATATACGGGCTTTCCTCCTATGTATATTTTAGCAGATGCCATTTATGCGATTTTTTACCGCGTAGAAAAACCATGTGACTTATATTTCACGTAAATAGAGAAACTTGTATGTATAAAGGACAAAATTTCGTAAATATACATTTAAGAAAATCAAAGCAATTTAAATCTCGCCGTTCAGTTTGTTAAAATTTTTCGAAACGCCTAATAAACACCAAAATACTATTTTGAAACAGTAATATCAGAATTAGATTTATAGTTAGTAGATTTATAGTAAACGCTATCAATATTAACGAAAGAAAATTACAATATAAATTTTCGAACTTTATGCTTATTTCATTATAATAATATAGTTATAGACTTTCGTAAAGTCAATAAGCATTTGCTTGCAATAGTCTAGTATAAATGTTTTCAGACGTTTGTGCGATATGTACTATAAACCCATCAGAACTGTACTAGCAGTAATAGACTTTTCCTTTGGTGCACTGGCTTGTCGCACACTCATCTCCCACGTATCCAACAGTTGGGAAAGAGAGAAACGTCGCGGCAATTTCGCAATGCGGGCGTTCAGGGCTTTCTGTACGGCACACAGGAATGTCGTTGTATCGTATTCGTGCGGTGCCATAACGCAACGAGGCGGCGTTGAAGGATAGTCTGCGGGAACTGTAACCGAGATTGGTGGAACGCATGGAAGATGACGGTCGTCGAGCCAACATACTAATTGTATGCATTTTGATCCACTTTGCTGCGCTGCATCTAGACTAATCTAAAATAAGAAAATTACATTATGTTTTATAAAAATTATACAAAATTTTTCATTGTTATCAGACTAGAAAGAAAGTGTGTGTAGTTTGGTGTATCAATTTACATAAAAAATATTAACAAAATTACCGAATTATATTTATAAAATTAGAATATTTTTATGGTCAGATACCACACCTAAAGTTTCCAAAGTGAATAATAAACATAAATGTTTAATAATATATGATTTAAAACAAATTGTATTATACATCATGCAAAATAAGCCTAAGAGATGATGTTGCATACTTTAAACCGTTGGTCCAGTCTAGCTACTTCTCCTTGTAATACATCCGGTATTTCACTAGAAGATTCTTCTATTTTTTGCCTCTTCAAGGGTGGTGGCAAATTTCTATTTTTGTACAAATTATAGAAATGTATCCCAATTTAATCATAGACTTATTAAATTAAATGATATATATATAATCTACTTTTTTACATGTATTCTTACTTTAGCTCTGGTCCAAACAAGGCATCCGAACATGGTCCAAAAGTACGTTGCAACGTGTGATTGATTACCGGACTTTGGAGATGTGTGCTCACGGCTTCTAGCAGCGAACTGAAAATTTGATGCTCCTTCAACAATACCCCGAAGCCGTCCCCTCTTTTGAAGTCTATCTTTTCCAAGACAATTTCGCACTTTATCAATGTATCTAATGCCATACGTTTGCCAGGAGTTGACAGAACTTCTAAGAGTTTCTTCATCTTGCTAAGTTTATCGATATCTGCGACAAAAGAAACGTTCAAATATAAATACTGTTTATTTTAGTAGCTTAATATCCGAAAGACATATGTAATATCAAAAACGTATAATTTTTTGTGAGAATTCCATCTATGAAAATAATTTGGTATATGTAATTACCTATATGTATATGTATTTATAAATGTAACTTTTATATAAATGTATTTTTTAGCTAGTATATTCAATTTTCATAAAATTAGCTCTTTATTTGTAAATAAAATGGATCTTTTTAATGTTTTAAAATTTTCTTTTCTTAGTATTGCATGCACTTCAACGTTCTTATTTGTACTAATAATATTTATACCGCCTTACTTCCATCGTTGCCCATCCTGGTAATCATTCTTCGTAATGGTTCTACATATTTGCTCAGGTGTCTGACTTTCTCTCTGTAAACTTGATCTTCTTGCTGAGGACTTGATGTAGCGCCTACACCACCGGGAGTATTTAATGAACTGCTTGGAGATGGTGCCATACCTAACAGCCACCAATGTACGATTTAATGTATTATTTAATATGTGTTATTTATAATAATTCCATTCATTTCTCTTTCTTTTTTTATCTGTACTTATTTCCTATGTTTATTAATATTTGTTCTTACCTACGGAATTCACAGAACGAGATGGCCCCGTCATGATGGCATGCTGAGGACTTGGTGATGGTACTAGAGCGGGTGAGGCTACCATTTGATTACTACGAAATAAATATTACCTTTCGTTTCATTAACGTATCACAAGAATGACAAAATATGCTTTAATATTTTTGTTACAAATTCCTAAAAATGTTTGTAAAATCTGTTAAATATTACCTCGACGGTGCTCCTAGGCCAGCTGGACTTGGAGCTGAAGGAGACGGACTCTGTCTCAAGAATTGATTAGGCGTAACGTTACGTGGGCCAGGAAATCCAGTATTCATCATTTCACCTGGCTAAAAACAAAAATGACAGTTGTATTAATAGACTATTAACAATGAAATTGTTATTGATGAAAAATGATAGATATAATGAGAATGATTACAAAGATAAGTGTATTATCATACCTTTCTTTGAATATGATTTAATTGCTGCTGCATTTGACCAGGACCTAACTGTCCAGGACCAATCTGATTCATCGTTTGCGGCATACTAGTCTGTATATTGCCTATTGGTCCCGTAATTTGATTATTCATTTGACCTGGTAATTGGCTCTGCATCTGGGACTAACAATAAGATAAAGGTAAACATGAAACGCACCATCGTCTTATCCATTTTCCTTCTTACGTAACTTATCTAAGTATGCACTAAGTAAAAAGAGCGTACCTGCATATTTTGTTGCATCTGTCCAACGCCTAATTGACCCATTTGCCCAGGCACCATTTGATTCATTTGCGGAGGAATATTTCCTGGTCCCATCTGATTCATTTGAGTCAACATAGGATTGTTTTGCATAGTCTGGATCGGGCCCATGTGATTCATTGGACCACCAGTTTGCGACGGCATCATACCCATACCTGGCATTTTGTTTTGCATACCGGGCATATTCATTGGTTGGCCAGGCCGTTGATTTAAACTTTGCAAAACTAACAAAACGTATAAAAATTTGAACCAGTTATCACTTGGGTGTATATTTTTCACACTATTCGTGTACTTGTATGATACAACAGAAATTTGAAAGCATATCATATCGTAATTTATATCATAAACATGTCGTATCTTGATTTATACCATAAAGAAAAACAGAAAATGTCTCAGTCTATATATGAATCACGAAGTATTATAAAAAAAACTAGAAAAGAATGTAAGTGAACCAAATCGAATGTACTGTAAACCAAAAAGGACATATAGGACATACAAGTGTATAAATGGATATAATTTGGAATCATTATTTTTTGGAATTTTGATTTATTAATGATGTGAATGTTTTATTTTTTACTATTAACATGAAAACAGAAAATCTAGAAACGTAAACAAGAAAAAGGAATTTTGGATATAAACGTATTAATTGAATCTATATGTGATGATAATCTGACAATGATGGCAATCCTTCTGAATTGTCCCATTCTTGTGAAGTGGTAAATCTGTCTTCCCCTGTCATGAATATTTCATATGCTTCTTTCAAAGGAAAATCGAAAAACGTTTGCAACATTGATCGCAACTTATTTAGATTTCTTGCAGCTTCCAATGTCTGATCTCGAGTCATCTGACGTATATACTTGAAAGAGACACCGCGAACTTCAATATTTTTATTTAACCTCAAGTCTACAACAATCGCATCTTTGAGGCTTAATTTTTGCAGATTCTTTGGCCACGCGTTTTCCGCAAATGTTAGTTTCATTCGTGTGACGATTGCATTCGTAGTAATTTGCACATCCTTGCTTCTCTTTTGCGCATTGTGTATGAATTTATACACGATGGTAAGGCGTTTCATGAAAACATCTATCGAACATGTCACGTCGTGAATTATATCGAGTATTTCTTCGGAGAAAGGATTATCCGTGCCAGATTTCAGTTTGTCTTTGAGATTAATTGTTTCTGGTACGAAAGAGTAGCCTGGGCTGATGTGCCATTTACATAGAAGACTGTGATATATAAGTACTACTTTGAATCGAAACATCTCTACATCCAGCACCTGGTGTCCTTTATAATTATATATAAACTTCACACGATTATCGCTTGTGCGTACTTTCATGTCTTCTCTCATTCTCTCTTGAATTTTCTTTTCTAAATCCTTTCGCTGTATTATCCAATCTTTATGTAATAACTCCTCATTTCTTTGCTGAATATCGCGAAGCATACCACAATCATATTCGCTTTCTTGTGGCAGAAATAACGGATTGTCCACTTCCACGTTAGCAGGTTGATTCTCGGGTATTCGGTTTATAATATTCATAGATGATACAAGACAATCAAATGGCTCCATTTCATTGTTTAAAATTGTATATTGCAACGTGCTTCTTTTTCAAACACGGTAACACAATAAATGCTTTCTATTCCAATTATCTTAACGCGTGCTGCACTGCTGATATTTTCACGTGTATTTTAGCTCACAGTCTGTCCAAGGTTACCATAATATTTACTACTATTGGCCTAGAGAATTACGTTTTATTTTCTAGTTAAACAGATTTTCCTTCGATCCGAATCAGTCGATATGTTTATTCATTTTATACACGTGTATATATATATAAAGAATATATTCCAATAAGATAAATATATAACACCGCCTACACGGAAGCTCAGCAGGAGCCAGCGTAGCCGGTCCCAAGCCCGGATAAAAGGAGGGTTAGCCATCTCCTTAACCCTGACCCGACGCAAAACAAAACCCGACCGGCTGAGCCGGAGACCGTAGAAGTGAGAAGAAGAGAACCTAGTAACCCCCCCCCCCCCCAACGATGGGAGAGATAAAAAAGGCAGTGAGTAAATTTAAAAATAATAAGGCACCGGAAATAGATACAATATCCCAGGAGAACTCTTCAAACATAGAGGGGAAAGTCTTATTGACAAAACTACACGTACTGTTTTGCGAAATCTGGAAGGTGGATAAAATCCGTATTTATCCGTACCTTTATTTTAGTTTTCCACCTAGTATAACAGTTCGTATCATTTCACGTTGCCTACCGTGATGAGGATCGGGAAACACTGCCAGTATCTGTACTATGGTGGAAAACTAAAATAAAAATACGGATAAATGATACGGATACGAGCTGAAAACATCACCTTGCTGTATCATCATAATCAGCGTATCCGTATCATGATAAAAGGCGATCATGATACGATTACGGTGATACGACACATGTCTGAACCCGCCTTAAGAGTACGATGCACGTAGAAATCACTGCATTAATTACTTACGATTAGTTGCGGTATTCGCGGGTGGTTGTGGGATTATACCCTGATGATTGGGGCCCGGACCTCCCATGCCCATCATTTGATTATTTCCTGTGCCCTGACGTGCCAACGTCTGAAGGGCGCCAATTGGATCGGGCATGCCTTGATTGTTGGCACCAGCAGTACCTGATGCATTGCCAGCCGCAGCCTTTTTGGAATCTGCGAAAAGAATAGCATTTCATTCAGATAACAATAGCAAGTCCGACGCAAAAATAACGAGGCTGACTTTAAAAAAATAAAGAATACTTGACAAATAAATTACACTCTGAAATTTTACAAACAAATTAAACAAAAGAAAGTCAAAGTATGATCTATACTATTATTATAAAGAGAGAGAGAGAAAGTTCGTAGCCCGGTTTCTTTATTCGCTATCTTCTTAGAAATCATTTTCTCGATTTAATTCAAATTTTAACTGATATTTCTATAGCTTCTCGGGATTGATATAGGCTATATATTATCATCTTAGCGCAATTGGGGATTGCGAATGCGGAAATAATAACACACACCGATGGCCCGATTTAAATCTTTGAATTTTAGATAGGAAATTTTCATTACCTCTTACGTTTTTTCGGATACATTTTAAAAGAAAAGAGACACATGCGAGAGCCAATCATGTGTTAGGTCGCGGTCGAAGCCGCGGGGCATGCTAGTTAATAATAAGATTAGCAATTTAATGAGTTGAACAACTTAGAATGCATTCATACCTTGTTTTCTGAAGTGACAAACATACTTTCATTTATTTGTAAACTACATTCAATTTGATATATAAAGTTAACATAATAAAAGTCAGTCGTTATTTTTGTAAGTCTTACATTGCAATGTAATAAAAAATTAATGTAACATAAAATATTACTCATTTCTCTGACATGAAGAATTAATCTGGCAACAAAACCCAAGTATTCTTCCTGCAAGAAGAAAAACACGTATTAATTGTTGAAAGACTTGCCTACAAAGACCCCATTATATTTGTCGTATGACAAATTTTTACTCGAGAACTGAGGAGTAAACCGTTGACCAAAGTCATGTACACCAATGTCTACTAATGCTCAGCGAGGATTACTTAATTTTATTATCTTATTTTATCTTATTTATCATATTTTTTTATCTTTATAATGTCCCAGCAAGACCTAATGCCCAAAAAAGGCCTAGTAATGCTTAGCGATGCCCCAAATCTATATACCACAATGCTCTCAGCGGTTTACTCCTCGTCGAGAACTCTTGTATCTTGCAGCCAATCAGCGCGCTTGAAAAATTTGTTCTATGACAAATGTAATACTAGCTTAAAATACTATACAGAATAGAAATAATAAATATAAAATATAGGTAATAAACATACATAAGCTAATATAAGCTACAAAATAATCCAAGGTATGTATGTTTTGCTCTGTAATCCGTGTACACGGATTTAAGGTACCTTCATTCACATGTACCTGATGTGTACGTGACACGTGTAGTCATATAGTCGTATATGTGACACGTGTATTCGAATATTCGTGTATGTGACACGTGTACTCAAATATCCGTGCATGCTTTATCCAGATTTTGTCACATAATTCTCTAAATATCTCCCTATTGAGGTATACACGGATATTCATGTACACGTGTCACGTTCACGGATTCACGTATAAATGAAGGTTCTTTAAATTCATATACACGGGTTAAAACACGGATAAGTTAAATACACGGATCACACGTATAGCCTAGTAAACGTGTACTAGGGAGCTCTAGTTCCTACTTGTATTGTTAACTATTGTTATTCACTTAAACAACAAATCAATACTTCGTAGAACCTCGCAAAATTCACTGCACCCTCGCATACATTTAAATCAAGTAAGTGCAATACACAATGCAGCTGCAACAAACAAAATTAATATAGTACTAGACATACCTTAGTCTTAGCTTTTTGGAAGACGTGGTTCTCCATTTCCATGCTGTTTTTTGTTGTGGGCATGCCAGACACTTGTATCGCCTCGTCGCTGCCAATAAAATATTTGCAATTGCATATTAAATGAAAAATTAAAATTATTTTTCTCGATTGCGCATATTATAAAACGGGGGAAAAAAAGAAAAATTATAGAAAACTTACAGAAATTAACAAAGAAATTAGAGAAAAGGAAGACCGGTTATAATCCATTATTAGCATACACTTAGAGAAGAGAGAAATCTTTTCACGATACATCAATTCCAAAGACATCATCGTTTACGGCGTTGACTTACATCTTTGCGACCACGCTCTGTCGGAAGTTTTGCGTTTTCCACGAATCGTCCGTAGCCATGATATATGTTAATTATTTAAAAACGCGAATAAATAAAAACTGAAAACAATATCGGAAAGGTACACAAATTCAACGCTCGAGACTGTATCTCAGACCTCTCGTCACACGTCAAGATTACAAACACTGATGGATGCAGTCTAACCTACATTTCAGAGATGGGATAACTTCGGAATACTTTGACTGCGTTCCGAAGTGCACTGATCATCAACCTTAGAACTTAGAATAGAGACCCTCTAACCAGAGTCTGGCCATAAGGCATCACCCTGTGATTGGTCCGCCATTTTTCGTCAATTCGCGCCAGTTTTATAAAGCGGTATAAATTATATCAGTTTAGTTCCTTCACTTTCAAAATCGAATGAAATTAAGCGCATTCAACGCATTATTTTCGCTCAAAATAAAAGAATCTAGCAGAAAAAAGTATTGCTCTGCCCCGCGAAGCGAGATATTAATTATTAAAGTTAACTAACTGTTAGGGTCGGTATGACAGGTTTCTTGACTAAGAAAATTACCGCTTACTAATCTTACCGGTGATATGGCCAGAGTCTGGATATATATATTACTGTATATACCGTTAAAAATAAAATTGGAAACTTCGTGTTGATATTACTTAGTGCATAAAAATTAATAAAAAGATTCACAAGCGCAAAAGTTATTTTAACTGTGTCGGTAACATAGACGGCTTTAGGATCCTTGCTAACGGGGGAACAATTGAAAAACTCTTCTCATATCACATATTTATATTTGAGAAATCTCTTTGGTACTCTTAAGACATCTTTATTAGTTTTATCGACGCTAACGTCACTGGCAGCGATTCTACGTTTCGCTTACACGTGGATACTATTGTGCGTTTTTATAAAACCCATTAGCCGCTGCATCAGCATCGGTACAAAGTAATTACACGTTAGTAAGGCTGCGTGCCAGAAAAATATAAGACATGTACGAGATATGAAAATATAAGATATGTACGAATGCATAGCTTCTCACGCGGTCGTGAGACTAATTTCAATGACTCATCATCATCATTGCTGTCATCATCGTCATCATCATCATCATCATAAAATATTGCCTCAAATTCTACGCTTACTACCAGATTTGATTCACATGTGGCCGCAAGAACGTCAATCTGACTGCGTATAAAAAAAGAAATGGCTATATATTGTTCTTCCAACCACATATGAGTTAGAAAAACTTTTCTCTACGAGTAGCGGTCATGTTATGTCTTGGCGTAAAATGGAATTATATTGCTGCTGTTGCTGCTGCTGCTGCTGCGATTTTAAACTGGCTGTTAGTCTTCATCCTTGAAACGACGATAAATGGACTGAACATATGTGAAGACGCACTTCCAATCCGGCCGTTGCATCATCACCATGTCCTCGACGTCGAGTAACGGCGCGATTCCAGCGATTTCGCTGCAAGAAAACAAAGTTCTTGAGTTTGCAAGTACAAAAGAAGAAGATGAACAATTAGATTCTCGAAAACGAGAAAAGAATATCTCGGCATTTCGAGGAGTGGAAATGGGGAAATTCTTACTCGGCCTTCGTAAAAGCGAGTTCGAAGTTTTTCCTGCGATTCTCCGGACGTAGAGAATTGTAGTCGAAAGCGTCCGGCCTGAAGTGGTGGAGCAACGCGCAGAATGCTAAACCGTTGTTCCAGCTTGTCGAAAAGTTGTCAAGCTTCACATTCTGTGGGACAGAGGAGAAAAAGCTTTTATATTCCATTCAATAACTCGCTAACCGTAGCGCGCTTCCCTCGATAGACAAAAGAATATTATTTTATATATGTACAACGCACACCTACCTCGTACTCTTTGGTTTTCGACCGACACCACGCCAGTAATCGCTCTTTAATTTGCGCAGCGTTGTCTCGTACAGTTGGTTCGGTAAATTTTAGTCGGAAATCTGTTCCCGGTGATTTTAGGGAGCTAAATGAACAAATCGGTGATAAAATGTGAAGCATTCGACAAGATGTGAATTACATCTTTAATGATCTCTACCACGTTAGAGCACCCACGCAATCATGCAGTCTTAATTTCTATTCTCACCTTGGCAAACTATTTTGCTTGTCAAGCTGACGAAATTTGGCGAACGGCGACAGCGGCTTTTTCGGAGCTGAAAAAACAACAGGACGCTGAAAAGCTATGAATGCTCAGAAAGCGCACGATATGTTAGACTCGTATTGAGATGCATACTAATTGTAAGATCTGACTGTAATGTTAATGTCTCTCTATACCTATTTTAAATTGTCTATAACTGAATCCTGGCAACAAAGGCGTCAGAGGTTGCGAATTATTAGAAAACCTGGATCTAGCAGAATCGTTCATCTCTCACTCTCGTCGCGTGCCCGCAGCGACATGCATTAGTTGTCTTACAAACAAATTCAATAACGGTTTAGTATGAAAAAGAACAGGGCGATCACGTACATACATGTGTCTGTACAGATATTAATTGTCTGAGTATCTCTTAGCAAATTCTCGGCCAGTAACAGGGACGTGACAAATTTAAAGTAAAAAAAAAAATAGGAACGCTTCGGATTTAGTTCGATTCTAAAGTGGATAGGTGCTAAATTCGTCGATCGATCGACATTGATCAACGCCACCGCCATGCACGAGCGTTGAAAAGGATGTCCGTGCGCGCGTACGCACGCACGCACGCACTTGTACTTCCACGAGGACGTCACAAGGTGTGGCGACAAGCATGGGTAGATTATCGTTCAAACTACGCGTTCAAACTTCGGGAATCCAAACCTTTTGTTCCACAATTCGTCAGAATTAACGAGAGAAAAAGCATTAAAAAAAATATATCTAACTGAATCTCAGAAGTCTTCTGTGTCTCAATCTGCTAGATGTACAGTAATGGACAGAATGGTTGCAACATTTCTTAAGTTTTAGAAACGCGCATTTAGATTCAGAATTACGTTCTAAAACATTTTTTCCAAGGAAAATTTTATTCGAGAAATAGTTCGAGAAACGCTCAAAATGGTTTTGAAATGGCCATCGAGCAAAATGTTCCTCGGGGAAGAAGATTTGAAACGTAATCCTAAATCTAAACGCATATTCCCAAACTCATTAAAAAAAAAGTGTTGTTGCAACCATTCTGTCCATTACTGTATGTACAATTCAATGCCATGTAGATTTTTTTCCTCGACAGGGAACTTCACTTCCAATACTTCAGTTTGCTTTCAAGAACTAACATTTTTCATGCAAATTTGCAGAATCGCGCGACGCTTTCGAACGAAATATCAAGCGAAGAAATTGTTTTTTTTGTCGCAAACGCGTGCAATAAAATTGTCCCCATGCCAGCTCAATATTATAAGTCCTCTGTGTAAAAACATCCATCCAAAAAGTTGCTTGATTTCTGCATTTCTTCTTCAATTCTCATTATAAAGGGAGAAGATGACAAACGTAATATATAATTAACTAATATTACGTGCGCGTGTAATTATGTTTATTTATTATTATGCGATATAGCGCACCGGGAAATATTTCACCGATATAAAAAAAATCTGATTGAAACTTGTTCTGGAAAAATGGACTAACTCGATGCAATAAGTTTCGCAAATACTGTGAAATACGGAACTGCAACTGCGGTGCGTGGAGTTATATCCCGAGCGGCGAAAAGAAAAGTCGTCTTTGGTATTCATCGAAGCGTCCATATTTTCGGGGGATGCTTTCGAGAGATCTGAGCCGAGTTATTCGGGCCGCCGCAGCATCGCTATGCGAACTGTACCAGCGCGCGGCACACACGCGTACACTACGATTACACTCTTTTAGACACACTCGCAGCAGTGCAAACTGTATACGTCACTGCGTAACAAAAGGATCAACAAAAATAAGGGCTGTGACTCACTGCTTTATTCGGGGATTGGCGCGGTCCTCTTTGCGACTCCGTCCGCGAGAACGTGCGCGTCGCGCTCGCGACTAGGGTTCAAGTAAAAGAAGAAAGGGAGAAAAAAAATGTTGAGAGAAGAAGAGCTGGGAAAAGGGGTAGAGGCGCGAGAGTCGCGCGTGTAAGACGCGCGAATCTTTTACATATGCGGATTTTGCGGCTCGTGGCTAATTGTAATCGCGCATCGAGCGGAGTAACGGCGGAACGACCGATGCGTTGCGCGGTGTTCTCCCCGTTTCTTGCTGGTTACAGCGGGTTTCGCGCATACAGCGGCACCGCGTTGCTCGACTCTTCCCGCGCACATGCCGGCGAGCGAGGCGATCTTGAGCGAGAAGAAGTGGGGCGCTGGACACCGGCGATGATGATGGTCGTTGAATCGATCTGCACTACCGTCTCTCGTAATGGACGAAGACCATGTGTCGGCGTCCAATCCCGCCGCGGTTGCACGAAACGTGCTGCTTTCGCAGAGGGCTATGTAGCATTCGTGTCGAAAACGGCGTCGCGGAACGTTTCTATTTCTCAAATATGCAGCTTCTAATCAGATTCGTTAGACGTGATACTGGGACGAAGAGAGCTTCGGCACGAATTTCGAATCTAGAGCTCGGCGATAGCGAAAGTTCGCGAGAATTGCACACGGCGAATTAGACCGTAAATTCCAAGCTGCTATTAACGGAGCTGCCTTCCGCTTCTCTTCGATTATCCATGAAAGTTGATTAAATCATCGATTCTATTGAAACACGTGGCATTTTGTAGAAAATGCAGTTGGAATACTGGATTCACTTTTACGAAGAAGGTAGATCGTTGCCATTAAACGCTAGTCGATGCCAACACGGAGGGAAGTGAAGGATCGGTTAAATCCTAAAGAACAGCTCTAGAATCTCAGTTAACGTTTACAGAAACAGTCTTATGAAAACGAGTAACAATAATCGTATCTGCAAACCCCTAAACAGTTAGAATTAACCGGCTGTGTGCGCGTCGTCCCGGATTGCAGTTGTCAAGGGCAGGCCAAGTGCGAGTCAAAGTGGGCAAGATCACAGTTTAACGATCCGCGTTGTCGGCCGGATTACGTAGCATATCGAGACTAGTGTAGAATCGCATTCTTATCACGATGTTCAGCGCGGCGCGGAGTGTCGCCGGCTCTCGCACAAAGAGCACTCGCAAAAGTCTTGAACGGACGTCGCTTTTACCGTCGTCAAGTCCCCCAAGTGCACACCGCGCCGACACTTTACAACACGATGAAGATCGGTCGATCAGAAATGATGATCGTCGGTCCTGGTAGCCTCCTCGAAGATGTCGTCAAACACCTTGTCCACGTCGGCGCTGTTGAGGCTCCCCACGGGAATCTGCGGCACCGTCGGGATTGTCAGACGCAGGCTTTCGTCGCATATCCCCGGCATGGTGCGACTCCTGGACAGACCGACAAGGCCCTTCTTCACCGAGTCGCGCGACGAGAAACGTCTGCCCTTGGAGTCCTTCGTCTCCGCGGCGCCGTCGTTCGCCGGACTGTCGAAGTACCTGCGTATCTTGTCCTCCATCTTCTTTACGCTGTCCGAGGACGAGGACGCCTCGTATTGCTTTTTCATCTTGAAGGACGACGGCGACCTCGGCTTGGGCGGTTTCGGAAGGTAGGATCCGGTACCGGCGAGGGATTGCGGCGGCAACTTACCCTGTACCGGGCGCGACGATGCGTGATGACTCCTCGAGAGTGCCAGCTGGTGCCACGACTCGGACTTTGACAGAACGATGGATCTGGACGGCCTGTTGGTGCAGGATACAAGATACTCGTCACTGGAGTCCATCGTGTCGCTCGGGATCGGCGAGTGTTCCTTTTGGATGGGTTTTGAGTGGCCGCCCGGTTCATACTGTTCTCTAAGAGCGGTGATCCGGTTCTTCGCGCTGAATCCGGAGGGTGGTGTTACCGACAGCAAACCAGTGACGACCACCGGTGGCTCTGGTCTTCTCGGAGGCTCCAATCTCCTCGGCGGTTCCAACTTCCTCGACGGTTCCGATCTTCTCGGCAGTTCCGGCCTTTTCGGCGACTCCAATCTTCTCGGCGGTTCCGATCTTTTCGGTGGCTCCGGTCTCTTGGGCAGTTCCAGTCTTTTCGGCGTCTCGGGCGATTGGAATCTTAGAGGTTGATTAAAACTGTTAGATTGATGAAAACTGTTAGGCTGATTGAAATTGCTAGGCTGGTTAACGACAGACGTATGATGATCGTTCAGCATCGCTCGCTCGTTCTGCAACTGACGCACCAGGCTCTGCTGTAGCATGTTGTGTCGACGTATCTCGTCCTCGGTCGTGGTGGTCTCGCTACTGGTCGGTTTGGGATGCGACCAGAGCTGCGAGGGTGAGGAGGAGGATGACGTTCCAGATTCCAGTCTGATTTCGTTGAGTTGCGCCGTCGGAACGTCCGCAGACGCTACGGTCGCAATCGCACAGGTGTACCGCGTGACGACGCCGGTATCCGCGCTGATGTCCTGATTCTGGATATTCTGTTCCTCCGGCAAAACGCCGTCATTTGTACACAAGGGCTTTTCTTTGCCGATTTCATGCGACACGCTCGGCATCCGATCTTCGAATGGATCCTTGTTGGATTTAACATACGGGATATAAGTCGGGTACATTTGAAATTGATTATCAATCGCCGATTTAGGCGAGAAGTAATTTTCACATCGCGGACTCGTTCGGAGGACCGGTTCGCGCTGTTCCGGCAACTGATGGCCGGAAATCGCCTGAAACGGAACCTTCTCCGTGGTATACGGCGCGCAAACGGTGTCTTCTTTGACAAGGTCGCACGGATTCTTGTTCGCTGAGGGCATGTCTTCGTTTCGTGACGTGGTGTCAGTCGTTAAGGCATGATAATTGCGATTGTGGTCCAGAACGAAATGGCTCGGCTCCCCGGCAGGATGATACATCGAGTCCGATTTCGGAACGACGTTGTATTGAGGAGCCGTCCAGTGTTCCTTGGCTTCCACTTCCGACTCGTTATGGGTCTGAACAGATGCGTTATTGTACGCGGACGGCGGTCCCTTTGCGACTCTAGGAACTACTCGAAACACGCGTGCCTCCCCAGGATGACCGTCGTCGTTGACACCCGTCTGTACGGCCACAGACGAGCTACCTTTGAGCATCGCATCGATCGGCGCGTTCACCGCGAATGCAGCTCCAAACGGATCCTTGTCGTTACGCGCTGTGGTTTGCGCTAATTTAAAGGCACTCTTCTCGCTGCGGACATCAAATTTGTCCCGAACTGGTTCCTCAACTGCGCGACGCGGCTCGCTCGGGCGATACTGGACCTGCGGTCCTTTTTCAGGGAACATCCTGAAGGAAATCTTCCCGTCTACCACGCCGAGCTTCTCGTTCAACGGTGCCAAGTTCTTGCGATGCGCGTTCGAGTGCTCGTGGCGCCTGCGAGAATCCTCGACGCTCTTGGCTTCCGGAGCGGCGTTCTTGCCGATGAAGGGCGCGAACTGCTTGCAGAACAGCCGATAGTCGAGCCGCCCGTTTTCGGTCACCATCTTGTTCGATTTGCCTTCGTTTCTGTCGTGTTCGATCCACGGTGGTCGAGGAAAGGTAGACTTCTGAATGTTCTCGTTCGCGTTGTACGACGGCGGTTGGGATTGGTTGCCGTCTCGATCGAACATCTTGGCTTTCTCACGCAAGGAATTTCCGGATGGTGGTGCGTTGTCCCTCTGCCAATGGTAGCCAGCCGGGGACTTTGGTGTACGTGGCTTCTCGATCTTTCGAAACGGCGACGAAGGTGCGTGTCTGAAGCCCGCGTCCGGCTGCGGCACGTTTACGTTTGCGAACGGGAAGCCGTTGTGCGGCGCGCTGCCACTGGCCGGCGTCTTCTTCCTCGCCGGGACTTGGGGGGACGTTTGGGGCGTATCCGAGAAGTGTTTCGCGGTGTTTTGCAATCTCGGTGACAACTTGTCGGCATCGTTCGCGAGCGAGGGCTTGTCGAAGGCGGTCTTGATGTTCGAGAACCGATTGTTCCAATTTTCGTTCGTCTGCGGCATATCCATCGTCTTGTTGTAGCCGAAGGACTTGACAAAGGCGGGCACGGCGTTGCACGCCTGCGTCTCGTTCCGGCTGATCAACGCCAGGAACTTCTTATCGTTCTCCGTTCTGGGTTGGAACGACGGCACGCCGAGATTGGACGCGTTCGCCACGATCTTGTCGCCCACGTTAATGGGACGTCGCAGGACCACGCAGCCGGGATTGTCGTAACCGAAACTATCGGTCTGCAACTTGAGGTAGCTCGGTATGTCGATGGTATTGGCGCGCTTGATCTTTGACTTTTTCGCCGCGAACTTGTTGCTGCATTTACCGGCGCTGATCAGTTCCGCGCGTTGCCGAAGCGCCGCCGCGAGTTTCGTCACCCGGCTCTGCTCCTCGCTCGCCCTCTTGATCGCGGTTTCCTCGTCGTCGCTCACCTTCTCTTGATAGCCGTCGACGCTGTCGCGTTGCCGGGTCTGGGTATTGGATTCGTTCGCTGTTCTGGGTGCGACCACCGGCCGATCTGCATAACCGATCTGCGACGGAATCAGCGGCCGATACGCACCGGCGTCCTTGTTCCTGTCGCGCAACGACTGACGCTGATTAATCACGTCCTTCGTGTACTTGTCGTGGATCTCCTCCACGTGCGGCCTCTCGCCGCTGGTTACGTTACGCGACGCGGGCAGCGGTGGTTCGGGTCGTACAGCCGGGAACACCTGGTCGTTCAGCCTCGCCAGGTCCGCGCTGCTCTCCTCCAGCTGCCTCCTCGCGCGCGCGATCTCCTCGGCGGAGACGCCGATGGTGTGTCTGACGGGGCGCCGTCTTCGTCCGGGCGGCGCGCCGCTACCCTGCGCCGCAACGTCCGCCGTCCTGTCGGCCTCGCCGCTACTCGGCTCCCTTTCTTCCGTCGGCACCTGCAGCCGCGACAGCAGGCTCGACACCAACCGTAGGAGGTGTAGCTTACTCGTGGGGTCCGACACTCCACCGTGCTTGGCGAGGGTCGCGACGTCCGTGCGCTCGAGGGTCTCGCGCAAACGGGAGAGCGCGGTCTGGATGTCCAACAGCAGCAGGTCCTCCAGGAACTTGAGCTCGTCCTTCCTCGATACGGGCACGTCGTGGTTGCAACCGAGCAACGCCTGTTCCATGGAACGGCGCGCGCAGGTTTGGTCGCCGAGGCCGTCGGTGCCGGCGCCCACGCCGACGCCGACGCCGGGCTCGTCGCCGCCTCGCCGGCAACCCGCCGCCAGGGACAGCTCGAGCGCCTCGCGCAGACGTTCTACCAGTACCGGCAATGAATTCCACTCACCAATTGCCGCGCTGGGACCGCCGCTGACGCGACGCTGCTGTCCGTCTCCGTCGCCGACGGTGGTTGCCAGTGGCACCCCTGCACCCGGCTCCGCCTGCCTCGCGGCTACCCCCGACACCAGCACGCCGTCGTCCGACGACGCGCTCCTCGTGACGGTCGCCAGCTCGGCTGTAGAGAAACAGACCGGATGATAGCTCAGTCATTCGTATAATCGTATTGAATCTATTTCATTAGGTGAAAATTTAGATTGTTTATAACCGAAGTGATACTTTTCGCAATAAATACGGAGATTTTAATGCGAGGCTCATTAGCGTCAAAAGTCAAGTCGATTTAAAGTTTACATGGATTTACTATTCCAATAAAAAGTTGCGTTTTAAGAATTGTCGCGCAATTTACTGACTGTGAATGGGAAAAAGTGTAGAAAGTTCACACAGAAATATTGTTATTAAGATACCAAGATCCTCGAGAAGTGACATCTTCTCCAATTAATTGTATTAGATTATTTAAATTATGTAACTTATTTATTAGATTATTTAAATTATCTAATCTATTTGTTACATTATTTAAATTATCTAATCTATTTATTAGATTATTTACGGTGTAACTCATGTGTAAATCATATATCAGCTTTGCTAGACAGATAAACGTACAACTCTGTAACGTTGGGATAAAATTACGCTTACGCGCAGGTGTGAAAACGCATGTCTACTTACTATGTTTTCGGACTACGTGGAGAAAATATACCAACGGCCCACAAAATACTGCTTCGCTAGTCGAATAGCGGAAGAAAACTCGCTGCTTTTCTGCCAGAACGATCGCTATTTTTAATCCGCGATTGAAGAGCCCGAGCGTAAATCTCGACAAGTGGTGCTTCTCGAACACTGAATTATGTACATTCGATTATTCGCGTCGGCTGTTTACGCATACTCGCGTCTTGCTTCCTGAATTTACAACCATCTGTCGTTTTAACCGAGACACACGCTCTGTCGTCAAGGTCGTTCGATAAAAACCTCCGACATTCCCCTAGTAGCACAATATTGGGAAATAATATAAATCTAATATTCCCAATATTGATACAATGTTAGACTAATGACTAATATTCATATTACGTCCAGTGAGAAATGATTCGTCGATCGATGTCGAATGGACGAGTCCTTTCTCGGTAGACATTGCTAAATATCGGCCAATGCACTTCCATTACAAATCTAATGTTACATAATTATTATCGTGTAATTTACACTTTTTCCATAGCCAATAATGATCTTACATTGGAAGACGTTGGCTAATGCCTATCCAATATAACAAATGTGTCTGTTCTTTTTAACTGATGGCTGCACTAGTTCACAGTTTATCTTCTTCCTTCTATTGAAAAGAGAAAGATAAATTCTGAACTGGTGCAGCAAGTTCAACTAGAAAGACCCAAATGTTGGGCCAATGTTTAGCCAATGTTTATCCAATTGGTCTGCTCTTTCGAGCTGGACTTGCTGCACCAGTTCAGAGTTTACCTTTCTCTTTCCAATGTAGATGGAAGAAGATAAACTGTGAACTAGTGCAGCCAGTTCAGCGAAAAACAAACAGACACAATGTTTAGCCATGTGTACTGTGCTACTAGGGTTTACGAGAAAGCACCGCTTGTGTCGCGCGTTTTGCTCTCGAATTTGTCGCATAGATATATCGCGTAACCGGCAACAAGACGCGCGGATTACTCTAAAAGCGTGAATTGTTCCAGCCTAACGAAACAACGTCAATGGCTGCATTCAGCAGAAAAAGCAGCTTCGCAACTGTTGTAAAATTCGTGAATCTGATTGGCGTATGCTCTTAAATTCGCTCAAGATCAAAAGAAGACGCCAATCAGATTCACGAATTTTACAGTTGCAAAGCGGCTTTCTCCGCTGAACGCAGCCGGTGGCAAGTGGTCGCTGCGTAAAACACTGTTCCCGACGTTCGCACAACTGAAGACAACACCGTTTTCCTACCGAAACGCGATCGCGTCGGCTCGCGAAAGGGAGTGAATTTTGACAAACGATACTCCTCCGCGTTTAAGCCGGCTCGAGGTAGAGGAGAGTTAGAACTCGCGATATCACCGCGCGCGCTTCCCAATGCGTAACTCGCTTATCGCTCGCGCGAAGAGGCACCGCGGATTGTCGGGACCTCGCACGTCCGGCCGCCTCGGCACGTCTCTCTTCGGCGCGTCAACGCGCCGCGCGTTTTAAGAGCCGCGCGAACCGCGGGGAGCGGCCCGCGGGACGCGCGAGGCAGTTAGTTAGAAGCATTGTAAAACAACCGGTTTCGCGCGGGCGCGACAATCCGTCCGTGCGCGTCCGCGCGCCCGCCGTGCGAATCCGCGGACTTTTCGATCGCCCTCCCCCCCTGGAAGGCGTCCGTTCCTTATCGCACCGTGAATCCGCCTCCCCCGAGGACCCGCGACGATCGGACGGTCGCGCGAATCGGGCGGGCGCGGCAACGATGAGTTTTAACGCGCTTTGGAGCACAGTGTTTTTACCCGATTGCGAGAAGTCCGCCACTATCGTACCGCTACTGCCGCTGCGCACGGATTTCTCCGCGATTCGCGAAGAGAAAGAGAAAGAAAGAGAGCGCGAGCGGAGATCGCGAGCGAACGCGCGCGCTGACCGGCTTCGGCTATCGCGCGCGCGCTCGCTTTATTTAAAACAACGTACGGGGATTCTCCCGCCGCGGGGATTTATTTTCGGTCGCTCGTTCGACGCCTGTGCAGCTGCCGCGCGAAGCGAAGCGAAGCGGGGCGAGGCGAGGATCTCCGCGCGCGCGCCGCGAAACTACCCGCGGATCGCGAACGCAGAAAATGCCCGTGCGTTTCTTCGCCACGCGATTTTGCAGCGGGTATCTAATAACAGCCGCGCCTTGTCTGCGCCATTAATCACGTTGTTGCGTTGTTGTTGTACCGCGGCGCAACCGCGTGTCCTTTGCGCGTTTTTATTTTTGGAGTCGAAGACGAGGGGGGAGGTTGCGAAACAACGTCGGCACCGAGACGGCCTGACGCTACGAATTGACGAGAACGACGCCGTTCTCCCTTCGCGCCCGAAACCCCCACTCTCCTCGCCCTGTTTTTACTCGACCGAAAATTGCCTCTTAAGAGGCAATCCGGAAATCAATTCCGCCTTATCCGTTATTTTGCTTACGAACGGGATAAGGTAGCGAATGTGCGCAACAGATGCATAACATTGGTTGCACCCCAGTTGCCGCGTCCCACTTTGCTCTCCACCGCCCATTCCATTTCTCTTTCCGCATGGAGAGGCCTCCGCAGCCTTCTTTTTGCGGACCGTAAACTTGTCGCGCGTCAGACAAGCGACATTTCTTGATCTGCCCGAACGGAACCGGAGATTTTCAAAATTGCCGCGACGACACAGAGATCCCTCGCTTTGTACGACGCTTTCTTAATGCACTCACGTCCAGCCCAAGGCGTTTCTCTTTTCCGCTGGGACTTCGTGTTCAGTTTTTCTGCTCTCTTTCTCCCCGCATTATTTCATCTTCTCTTATTCCGTTCATTGTCCCGGTCCACGCGTATCGTCTATTTTTATATTCTTGTCTCTCCTCTCGTCGCCCCCTGCCTCCCGGCTCCCTCTCGTTTTTGCCAATAATTCTATTTTTGAGAGCGCCACTAGTCTGCGTTGTGCGTAACGGATATTTCATATTCCGGGAATTTATATCGGGCATTTCCATTGTAGTGTCAGGTAGCTGTGTAATTGTATATCGCGCCGCGCGGGAGCGTAAGATTTGTAAATAACGCGGGAACCCTGTAGCGCGCGACCGAAATAGTTCGCGCGTTTAGATTTCCTTGAAGCGTACGCGCGCGAAACGCAGATCGCTGTATATCCGCGCCGGACTATCCGCTGACGTCGCTATTCAAATAAACGCGTGAACGTCTATGCGAATAATGGTAGCGCGAACGCAAACACACGTCGACGACTTGGTGAGCGAGGCCGATTGGTACCGACAAGCGCGACGGGGTAAACACGCGCGGTGCGTGAGTCCGTGCGTAATTTCTTTCAAATTGATAGAATTTCTATTTTAACCGGCCGCGGGATGTCCCAGAAACGCCGAACTTAATTTCACGCCAACGAATTTCCAGCTTTGCATCGAGGTAGCGAGCGAGAGTTCATTTTCCTCGACTGAAGGGCCAAACCGGAAGTGAGCAGAATCCGCGTTCTCAATAGTTGAGGAAAAACGCGGCCCTTTCCGCGAATTTCTCACGACACTTAGGTCCGGTTTCACCAAACGTCGCTTTACTTTAATCTTAGTTTAATTCACGTTTGTCTCTCTCTAAAGCAACGGTTGGAAAGAGACAAAGAACGAATTAAACTAACAAGTGTAAGCTTAAAGTTAAGCGACGTTGGTGAAACCGGGCTTTCCCTTACGGAACAAAACACTCAAGTTTTGAGTGTTAACACTCGATTGTCCGCATTTACTCTCAAATTTGGGCGTAAGCACCCAGATTTAAATGTTTACAAAACTTGAGTGTTTTTTCCGTAAGGGTTGGACTGCTTTCCTTTTAGAGCACACATTTTTTACACAAATCGACACACGACTCTTTCCATTTAGAATTTAATTCAAACTCAATCGACACTTTACGCCTCTGCTCGGGAGGAGACCCAGCGAGAAATGACTCGTCAGTCGAGGTCGAAACGATGTCGAGTCGGCGTCGACGCCGTCGAATTGACGTCGATCGACGAAAGATTTCTCACTGTGGAGTCGGAGTGTGTTTTTGGCCGAAGAGAACGCATCCGCTCCGAGTGTTTCGATAGAATCTTTTGTCGGTACAATCTTTTTTCGATAGAATCCATCTCTTAAAACCTTTTTCTTTGAACCTTTGCCGTTTAACTGTGACCACCTGTTCTCGGGTCTGTTAACTCGTGTCGATTTGTGTCTCCTAAAAGGAAAGCAGCCTTAAGTATAATCAAATTGTATTGTTTATCTAGATACAGCGCGCTTTAATCCCTGTCCCGAGTTCAATTATACCGCGGTGTATCTAATGTTGGAAGGAGGTAACGAAAAACAAGATGGCACAGGACCAAATTTTCAAATTCCCAGAAAACAGAGAGTGTGCCTGCGAATTCTGGCGCACCATTTCAGCGATATACTTTGCTACAATGTACCGCTACCCCGAATATGTTACAAATACGTTCGTAACATTTTCGAAATCATTTAGCTCTTGACATTATCGAATTTTATGAGTCAAAAGTGTATACGATGCAAATTTGGATTTAACGGGCCTGGATCGTAGCTCTTCTCGGTCCAACGTTAATAAATGCATTAATTTTAATCGCTTTAATTGCGTTGTTTAATCGCTTAATTATATAATAGTTGTCCCGCGTTGAATCTTCCAACACTTTGGCGTTTAATGATTTCCTCGCGCAAATACTTTCATATTCGAGCTTACTAAAAATACTCGGATTCTCTCTTAGGCCCGGTTTCACCAACGTCGCTTAACTTTTAAGCTTAGCTTCATTCGTTCTTTGTCTCTTTCCAATTGTTACTTTAGAAAGAGGCAAACATGAATTAAACCGAGATTAAAGTTAAGCGACGTTTGATGACACTTTACTAAACTTTACTTGATTGATCGAAGTGCGCGTCACCAACCTGGGGCCGACGTTTCTTCTTCTTGCGTCTCTTCGCGACCCGGCGACTCCTTCGTGTCTCCTGCCTCCTTAATTTCCTCTGGTTCTTTCTCCTTTACTTCTTCTCGTTCCTTCTCCTTAACTTCCTCTCGTTCCTCTTCCGACTCCTTCGTAGACGATTTTGCCGACAGCTCGGAGGTATCCGACTCGTCTATCGTGCTCGCTACCTCATTGCTGACTTCCGCTGTTTCCGTGGCCTCATCTTGAGTGTCGTCCTGCTCCGACGCGTTCTGCGAATCTGCAAAAGCGAGATGGAAGATAATAATTTATTTTTTAATTTATTATGCTTACTCCATGCCTAGCAGCTTTGGATAACGGTTGCGGTTATACATTTATAATCGTGTCAGTATGGTTTACATTATTGTGTTTTTATCGTTTCGTAAGTGGAAGATAATCGTTCGGCAATACAAGCGTATGTACGTTAATCGGAAAAAGATAAGAAGCGATCATCCGCAATGAAAGATGTCTCTTTTCGATGATGAGTGAAACCAACGGGGCTTGAAAGATTAAAGTCCTCGATGCGTTAGTGGACGAAGTTTATGCGTCATATGGCGGAGAATGCGTGATATGTTCAACGATAATGTTGATGGTTTAAAACCGATAGTGTCGGAAATTTCTACTTTTGCCAATTTAGCATTAAAGTAGGTCCTTTTAAGTGGGAGCTAAAGTAAAATTTTGGAATTAAAGATTCAAGGGAGCAGTAAAAATATAATCATCAAAGTAGGTTATTGTTGATATGCGTAGGTGTATAGATCAGCCAAGTAGGTGTAAATTATCCTTAAAAGTGACAAAATAGTATCAAAATTTCGACTCGGGACGGCAGTAAAATATTTTTAGCAAAACATGATTAGCTACGGTAGCGAAAATTTGTCTTTTCAATGTATGTAACTCAAAAAGACTGGCAGTTACACAAAATCAGATGCAACGATTTCCTATTAACATTAAAAAATGTTCCAATAATTTCAAGCATCGTGTTCGAGAAAAAAAAATCTATAAAGTGACAGGATGAAAATGTATTTATATATTTTTCTACTTCTCAGTTCTGTCGACAAGAGCAGAATATATGATTCTTATTATTTTTGGCCGTTTCGCAGAGAGGCAGAGTTTTATAAAGATCGATGACGTAGCTCGGCGAGCGCTTCTTGTTAATAAACATCGTCAGTGCAGCGGCGAACACAGCGGCATTATATATCGCGGAAATGCGACAGGATGTAAACTGTTTGCACCCCCAGAGGCAGTAGACAGAGGTACGTTTTGATTGTGCGAGAATGCGGTCGTCCAGAGTCTTTTTGGTTAATACGCTCTGCATTCCGTTACACATTACGTTGATCATATTGAACATTACGTTTTTGCACGCATACGCTGAATTACGCTCGTTCCCGTGACTTCCTCCACTGACACTCGTTTATCTATCTACGATGATACTCAAGCAACATGGTCGTGACAGAGCTCGTAAAGGGGCCCTCACCTTCTATTCCCGACATTTCGGCACGCCGTCTCGACTGGACGCCTAGAAAAGTAAACACGATTATTAGAAAACGATGATATTTGCAATTTTATGTTTCTTGCCGATAATATAAAAGTAAAGAAGATTCTTATTTACTCGATGTTTTATTTAAAAATATCGTAGCCACAAGATTCTTTATTCTTCACTTAAACTTTCAATTTAAAAAATATTTTCAATTTCCTGATATTTTTATTCATGTTTCGTTGTTCCCGATATTTTTAAATAAAACAGCGACTCGATAAGAATCTTTTAAATTTTCAATTTAAGCGAACTCAACGATATGCTTCGCTAAGGCCGGTATTCGTAGTCGATTCTTATATCAACATCATCTTAAATAATGCTTAAGATGTTAACGTGGCCCTGTGATTGGTTTACAACCAGCAAGACTTTGAGATGATAATACGGCTCTGTGATTGGTTTACAACACCTTAAGACGCTATGAATACCGACCTAAATCATGTTAATTTGGCACTTACGATATAAGGCGATATCCTTGTTATCTTACAAGATTGCAATTTTACTTTATTAACCATATTTTTCTTCAAATTAGAAACCCAATTCTTTTGTACATGCCGTGTGTCTTGTGCCGTCAATATATTTTGACGAATATAATTTTACGATTGAAAAACGATTAACAATAAGACTTCGATCTTGAGATTTAATTCAGAGATACGATCGCAATGAATCTGATGATCAATGATCATACGAGGCATGCGAGGCGGCAGGGATCGGAACCGGTTTGCGGTTCAGCTGGTCGCGTGGCGCGCGAATCAAACGCCTACCTTCTTATTTTACGGCGTTCCCTAAATCGTTCCCAGATTGAGAGACTTGCTCATTATCGAGAACAACTGCGGCGGAAGAGGAGCGAAATCGAAGACACGGTGCACACGCGTGGTACACGGCGCTCGTTCAAACGAGGCAACGTTGTCGGCACTTTCGAGGCTTCGTGGGCCGTTTCGCGCGAAAATAGCTTTGACCCGTTTTTCGAACGTTCGGAAATTAGGAAGAAGCGGGCTAGACAGCGCGCTGATTTGCACGCGGGACGACCATGATAGGTAGGCGGTAGTGGCGATCGCGGTGTGTGCCACGAGGTCGCACTTTATAAATAGGCCGGGCGAGTTGCGGCGTATAGGTAGACGCCTCTCCGAATGCTACCGCGAGGAAGTGCTCGCGTTTCGCTCGTCACAGAGATTCCTCGTCGAGATTACCACGCGTGATCTTACGAGCTCTAACGGTGACTGAATGGGATCGTCGGAGGAAATCGATCAAACAGGAGGATTTCAACTGAAGGAACTTTCAGTTCGTCGACTTGTTTCCCTTCCATCCTTGTTAACTCTATCGATTCTTTTGATCGCGCTGAAAAGTCGTTAAGAAATTTCGTGTTTAACTCGAAATTTTTCTCAAAGTTTGAGAAATATCATGTCTTCGTGTAAATCAATAAATTTGTCTGCTCAACACAATTTCAGATTCATCTTTTTTTTAAACAACGTCAGTGTTTTCTTGACCACACCTGGCATTTTTAATAATACAGAAAATTTATTGCGAAAATATTACCTCAGCCAGGGTTTGAATCTGGACCTCCCCTACACTCTAGGCGGGCGTCTCACCAATTCGACTACAGAGGCATATGATAATATTTGTCGCAGTAACAGTATAAAGATGTCTACGCGTCTATTTCGACTTTTTTCGCAATAAATTTTCTGTATCATTAAAAGTGCCAGGTATGGTCAAGAAAACACTGACGTTGTTAGTTATCGCTGGCGACATTGAAGAATTCTTATTAGTTAATCTTTTTAATTTAAAAAAGGAAATAGATTGTGAGTTGAATTGTTCCTTTATTTGATTTGGCAAACAGTTCTTACGAAACTGATGAAAATGCAGACGAGCGAATGTCCAAAAGAGAATGTCCACTAGAGAGTGAAATATATTTTGAATATATTAATACACTTTTAATCTATAATAATATATTTAAAATTTATGTAATTGTACCCCAGTGAAAAATGATTTGTCGAAACGATGTCGAGTCAACATCGACATTATCAAATTCGACGTCGATTTGACATCAATTTGACGGTGTGGATATCGATTCAACATTATTTCGACATCGATCGACGAGTCATTTCTCGCTGGAACACATACATATACTCTTATTCGTTTTATAAGTTCTCTTAGTATCTCGAAAGACAGATCAAGTATAATAATTTATTTTCTTATCTGTTTCGATAGTACCCGTTACTTTTTTTTTTTAAATAGACAAGTAGCTTGATTTGATGCCACTTAGCTCTCTTTGTCCAGAATTGTTAGACGCGAATCGCCTGTATTTCATCTGACGTCAATCTGATTGCACCCCACTGTTTAATCCCATTGCATCCTTCTGATTTGCCGTTACCATACGTCCCGAACGCGCAGTCGTGACTTTTAGTAAATGATTCTATGTGGCAGCACGCCAACGATCACTTTACCATCCTGTTACTTGAAGCTCGCCGACTCACGACATGACGGCCTCGTCGAATTTTCGCTTCGCCGACGGTCACGTATTTTCGGATACAGGAATGCAGTTTCCGTAGACCGCGCTCCCGTTTTCGGACTTGGTGAAATTGCCGAAAAGCGTTTCGTAAAACCCGCGAGAAAGCGCCAGAGAAACTAAATCTTTCCTAACTCTTCAGAATTATTTCGATGTAGTGTATAGATGTAATTATAAATATAATAACATTCTTTTAGGACACGATAACATTCAATTCAATTGCTTCTTTTTTCTTTTTACATTGAAGGAAAAGAAACAATGAATACTATCGGCACGAATTTTATAATAGATATTATTTTTAAAAAATAAATACCCGTATATAAAGAAGTTTTGGGTATTTTGTACGTGTGCCAGAAGCAGCGACGTATGTGGAGTAAAAATAACGTTTATGAACTACAAATTGTTGGCTTGCAATGTACAAGACTTCCGAATTGCTTTTGAACGCTTCCCGTAATTGCTTCTTATCAGAAACTCGGCATGAAAAATTATTTCAACATGATAAACCATCTCCCCCATAATCCACATCATAATTCCATGGTTAACTCTTTCGAGATTCCCGAATGTGTGTACCACTAAATTTCTCCGAAAATGTACTGAAAATTAGTATAATTAAAATTAATCTGCATTGTAGGTACATACATCAAGTCGAAAAAGCCTTCTATAAACTTACCACCGTCACGTGGTCTAATGTTATTCTTTTATCCCACTTCCGTTTCATTTTTAAGAAATGTATTAATCATTCAATTTTCATTTTACCTTTATTGCTACAGACGCACGCACAATAATATTTTAATTCCATATATAAAATTAATCTTATGGAAGGCCAAGGATAATAGATTCTTCGCTTCAGTCGTCGTAATGACACCGAATGTTATATTCCGAAACAAAAATATCAACAGTTACATCGAGGAATTCAGAATAGCCGTCGATTTTACGAGAACGCGTCGTCAACAATTGCAAAATCCAAATGTCACCAATTGCCTGATCGTATCCGAGGCGGATTAATTGCTGTTCCGGGAGGGTTTCGGAAAGTGCGGAAAATGCCGAGATCTCCGATCCAGTAAACACCGAGTACCAGCTGCATTGTATCCATGTCATAATTTCTCACTCAACAATGTAAATGTAACGTAAATGCGATGTAACTGATGCTCGGTGTTTACCGGGGAGGAAAGGATACGAAAGGGCTGATTTTACCTTTAAGGATCGGAGGACCAGCTTCGGGTGGCAGTAGGAGGCCCAAGCCCTCGGGAGACTGCAGCGAGCGGCCGTCTCGCCACCACCGAACTCTCGTCGTTCCGGTGGTTATTGCTGGGCGACGGTGGTGGTGGCCGGCGGCACTGGATGATGCTCCGCTATCAACGCCGCCGTTAAAAGCACAGCGTCACCGGGCCCAAATTAGACGACCCGAAATAGCGGAATTATTGGCGGCAGTATAGCATAGCCGGCTTCGACACGGCATACCGCGGTACCCGGCCTCGGAGAACGAGCGGAATACGGTCCGACACGCTTCCGCTACCGGTATATGCGACTCCGATGCGATTCGACGCGACAGTCGTTCTGGCATCGGCAAATCTCAGGACGTCGCGACGTGCTAAACGTTCTCTTGTGTACTGAAGAAAGTGCAAGTGATATGTCGTTCTATTCAAGAGAAACAGAACCCGTGTCAGAGATTGCTGGGGATAATGTTCGCAAGAAGTCGTGTATTACAATTGATTAAATGTTGACGTAATTGTTTCCGAATTGTTAGAACTCTTTGTGATTTCGAATAAATAAAAGATTATAAACATATGTATCTATTTTAATATTATGAAGTAAGATTTTAATATCCCGAGAGCTTCAGTTCTTAATTTTAATTTAATTCTTTACTTTATGTGGAATAAGAAATTACGAGTTCTTTTGGATTATTTTCGAAATCATCAAGATTATTGCAACAGAAATTGTAACACACGTAAATATTTCCCAACGTATTATCAAAATAATATATCTATATATATCTATGTAAATCATTTTCTTAAATGTTATTTTTTAATCACTTTACTTTCTTCCTATAAGAATGTAGAAGTAAGCGTCACTTAAATAATTTTCTGATTACTCGCGGAAGCTCGAGTCATTTCTTCAGCATTTACTTCTTTAAATTTTCTAACAAATTCGTTTATATAAAATAAAAACAAAATTTCTTTATATCTATCGGTTTATATTAAAATAAAGTTTGCAGCGATAACCTTTTCCCTCTTAATTCAGATCGTTTGTAAGTCGGTCGAAATTCGCTAATAAACTCGTAATTCTATTTTCATGACCGTAAACCGAGTCATCAGCCCACGGTATATCCAAGTGCTGGCAGTCCAAATCGCCCCTGCAACTATTCGGGAATATTTCGGGAACTTCGGAAGAGCTCTCGTCCGTTCGCCACGAAAGTTACCTCGTTTGCCGGCATCGATGTCACCCGCATGCCATCTCGCGTGCCACGCGATCCGTACGTTCGCACACTTCGTCATTGCGCGCGCCGTCATATGGAATCACAGATGGCCGATTCATCGAATAATAAAAAAAAGAAGAAAAGAATAAGCGCTCAGTAAGGATGGCGAGATCACCTCATTTAATCATGAGCCGACTGCTACCCAACGAGAAATGACTCGTCGAATCGATGTCGAAACGGTGTTGAATCGACATCGACACTGTCAAATTCGACGTCGATTGGACATCAATTTGACAGTGTCGATGTCATTTCGACAAATCATTTCTCACTGGGTAGTTTTATACAGTCATAAGTAGAGGGAAACGATTTCCAGTCAGAACACTAACGTTGAATCAACGTCGAATCGACGTCAATGGGAACAAAATCGCGTCCCAATCGTCAGTTTTCAAAAATACTTAAAAGTTTTGAAACTTTATTTTTTATATTAAATTTTGTATTAAATAAGTTAACTTGGCAGTTCTCTCTAATAAGATGTTAAAAGTATTCAGAACGTTAACCGTAGTAATTTAATACAGAAAAATCAAGTTCCAAAATATAATCTTCGAAAACTGACGGTTGGGACGCAATTAAATGCCGACATGATTACGATTAATTTTTTACTTATGTTTAACTTGAGAGAAAAAGAATTTGATTACGCCAAACCGATGTTCTTTAACCAGACACTGATAAGATGTATTTAACTTAAAAGGGGAGCAGCAAAAGTCGACCCGGAGCGAACGGGAGAATCGGATCAGCTGATCCGACGTAGGCCTTTCTCGTCGAGTCGTTCTCCGTCTCTCCTTTCTCTCTCGTTCTCTCCCGCTGATGACCATCGCGGTGACAGCCCCACCCGCGGCATCACCTTCTCTTTCTCTTTCTCTCTCTCTCTCTTTCCCGCCGAGGTAATGCACGAGGTCGTTTGTCCGTTGGTGGAAACCACTTTCCAAGCGAAGCCTGTTAACCCACTCGGGGCCCCAGTACACTCGCCGCCTTCGGTCCCACATGTCGCACGGTGCGCGAACGCGCTTTCGACGCATGCCGAGGACTTCGCAAGCGTTTTGGCAACTCCGATCTTGAGCCGAGCCTGCTGATCATAGGTAAAGTCCTCTCGAGGACAGAAAACCATCCGGGAGTCAATGGTGCGCGTCAAGGCCGGCGGGAGACACGTGCTTTTTTTCGTTCGCGCCTATGGCTGTGAGATTGCACTTCTGTAAAATTGTATCGGAGCAACTGTCATCAATTCGAACCTTCATTTTTACCCGCGGTGATGTCACCCGCAGAGATTTATCGGTGTTCCTTCCAAATGATAAAAAATTAAAACGATACAAAGTGTCCAGCACCGTCCAGAAGTGATCGTCTCAGAGTCTACGCTGCCTGCGCTTTTTATCGCTAGTCGCATTCAATTTTCTTTTCAAATAAAAATGACCGTGTCTCGGGATAACATGAAAGTAGCATACAATACGAAATGTTAAGTCGCTCGCGTACTCCACAATTTGCTTTGCCGGAAGCAAAGCGATCGAAGGTGGTAACGCAATCTTTTCGTTCGGGCGGCCCAGATTCCGGCGAGCCGGAACCAGCTGATCCGGGAAGATGAAGGGATGGTTCGATGCCTTCCGCAGCGACGGCGGCCCGACGCTCTACAGCTACAGCAACCGCACACCCGTCACCGGTGACGTGCCCCTGGTTATCGTATTCGTGATATTCGGCACCCTGTTCACGGCGTTTCTAGTCATATTCCCGGGCGTCAGGAAAGAGGTGAGCAGTTTTCCCGCTCCTCCCGTCGTGTCCGCTCGTGACCGACGTTTTAAGTCAATTACGAGTTTCTGGCGTGTAAACCTGGTGTTTTTCTCCCGCCGCAGCGGTTAACCACATTTCTCACGGTTACCCTGAGCCTCTTCGTGGGTGCGACGATTCAAGGTTCGTGCACTTTTGTCTACTTTCCAAGTCAAGGGGCCTTGGCTGCCAGTGGCGTAACTAACCGATTGGCCTCGCGGAGCTCGAGTCGCGCGAGAGCTCGGCGAGAGCGACAAAAGGAAGAAGAGAAGGAGGGGAAAAAAAATAAAAGAAACAGAAGAAGAAATCAATAAGGAAGCAAAGAAAGTGAAACTGTAATTGAATGGACTCGTCTGCATGTTTTGTAGCACTGAATCGTGTTATCTACCTGCATTTCGTTTTTCCTCGACGTGCGGTGTATTGTTTATTACTTTTCAACGCGAAAGTTCGGGGAAGACGTAGTGCGAGGTAATCGAGATCGGAAATTAGTTAGAGCAGAGTTGAACATTGGTTACGCCACTGGCCGCTTGTAGTATCCGCAATAAACCGCACTGTTTAACGCTAAAGACGCTTCCTCGGCAGTCAAATAAAGTTGCGAAATCTATCCCCGGGATGATTAATCGGGATTAATCGCAAACATAAGGCCGCGAACGCGCGAATGAATAACCGTTGTGCTCTCTGTGTGCGCGTAGTGGCGCAATACGGCTCATCCTGGCACACGAGCTCCGCTACCATTGTCAGCTCTTACAGCGCTTTCTCCAGGCATAAGGCAACGGCCGACATCGGCGGTTACATCGGTTTGATGCACATCAATATAACGTACAGGTGTAAGTTTCAGTAAAGAAAGCTAGATATATAAATCCATTTACACGCGCTTCCGCGTTTTAAGCCACTGAACCGTGACCGATCGAATCCGACGAGAATAAATTTGAAAAACAAGACTGAAATTTGCAATTTGCAGTGAGAAAATGATTCGTCGAAACGATGTCGATGGACGACGAGTTTCATTTCTCGCTGGGAAATTGCAATTTCCGAATCGCGTTCGCCACGCGTTCTACCTGCGTCAACTTTTTATCGTTGCAGTATCGCCAGATAGCGAGCAATCGAGTAGCGGCGACGTAGAGTACAATGAACGGTTCTGGTGGCGAAGTTCCGGCGAGATGACCAGCGCCTTCAAGCAGGCCCTTTACCAGGGCGCGCCGTTCCCCATCGTCTCCTTGGCCGAGTACTTCAGCCTTCATCAGGAAGGTTTCTCCTGGGGCTCGCGGTATCGCGAAGCTGGATACTACGCCTCGATAATGCTTTGGTATATCACTTCCGTGACGAACTCTCTGAAAGTCAATTGGTCGTGCAAAAGCACAGACGAAACACATCTTACGAGCAAAACTCAGGCAAATCTCGTACAAGTTTGCGTGCATAAGACAAAATTTGCGCACAAGAATTGTTATCTGGATAATCTAATGTAATCTGATCATACAACATAAAAAAGATCTATTATTTTAAACGGAGCTTTTTTTTCTTGTGCAGGACCTCCTTCGCCTCGTGGTTAATGACGAACTTGTTACTTATGGTGGTACCGCGGTATGGGGCATACGGCATGATCTTTACCGGTTTGTGCATGCTGCTGACGAACCTGATCTACACGGCTCTTTTGCCATGCGAGCCTCTGATAGCTCACATCGAGGGCTCGATCCTCTCCTTCAACCTAGGCTGGAACTACTGGTTGGTGTTGTCAGCCGGTTCGTGTCCTTCCGTCGAAACGACTTGATTGCGCTTCGTCAATTACATACGTACGTAATCGCGATTCCTTTCTTCGCAGGTGCCGCGTGTCTCTTCGCGGGGCTCGTAATTACGGCTATAGACATGATCTTCCCTCATCAATTCTCGACCATACTCGAGGTCGACTACGACACGCCGTATGACAGGCATGTCATTATAGAGGAGAGCTTCGATACGCGCAACGTCAGGCGGAAAGTTCCCAAGATCGAGGACTCGTTCGGAGATCGAATAATGAGGTTCGCGTTACGATCGTGTCTCTTAATCGGATTTAACTGAATCGTGCTTCCACCTCTTGCGTTCTATGGCTTTTACAATGTTTCAGTCAACTGTCGTCCAAACTTCAGAATAGGCACGCCACTAAGGACGACACCGAGGGTGTCATTAATCGGGGCTATACGTCGCACGAGCTGTCTGAATTCCCGCAGGAAATCGCCGACGAGCCCAGCAAGAGTAACTGGTCGTATCCATTCCCGCCAGCCACGCGCAGAACCGTTAATGGCTAATGCATTGCCCGAATGTTGTGGACAGTTGCGATACTCGTCGACTTTCCCCAACGCCATTAACAACATTTAGACATGCATTTCACTATATAAATATTATTTAATGACATGACAACTATTTAATAAAAAAAAATAAATTTAAACAACCCTGACGTAAATTATTTGCGGAAAACCACTCGCATTGCAATTATGAGTGAAAATTTCGTAATGAAATCGTGATAAATTACAACGAAGCGACTAAATTCTTTTGCACATTAGACTCGGGAAGATAAAAGGAGAAAAGGGCGATAGAGATCCTTTTTGTGTGTTCATAAATAAGAAATGTAATACTCATGATAGATAATAAATAATGAAAAGCAGCGCTTCAGCGCGCATAAATATGTACATTCTGCAGCAAATCGTCGCGATTCACGATGGAGGGTTGTCAAACACCGTTGACAGTCCGTTATCTCGTGCGAAACGGGGAGCAGTGTACCAGACTAGCCGAAGTTCTCGAAGTGATGAATGAAGTACGGCAGACGCCGCGTTTTGTTGACCTCGTCGCAGCCCGACATGACGCTTTTCGTCAGAGGACGCGGTCCGCAGCTAAATACTCCTATTTTACTGACCTGCGGACATCGGTATCTCGTTCAGCGTACGATTGCAGCGTGTTTTCAAAAATAACATCAAACGTGCGCGTTATATCCAGGCCGCTCAAAAGCACGAAGGACGTATCAACTCTTCGGGCCTTCCTCAGACGTCCTTTGAGCTTCTGGGCGGCGGACGGGTGATTTCTTAAAAATTAATATTACGAACGTACATAGCTGTGCTTCTTCTGGACAAATTTTAGAAACGACGTCATGTCCGGCCGGCCGAAATGGTTGATGGCCTTCAGCCCGGTAAATATACTCTTCTTCGATAGCCTCTGAAAGTGATTCTCACATATGTACTACATATGTGAAACGGAATGTTATTAATACAAACGATTAATTTAATTGAGTGTTGCTGGAGCCTCGCGTGCTTTTTCATTGCGGATCGTGCGAGCATCCCAAAGTGAATCACTTACCAGCATAGTAGTACGTAAATCGAACTTATGAAAGAATTGTGTGATAAATATGTGAATTTCAAGTACATCCGTAACGTCTTTTCTCTCGACATCTCTGAGAACGTCGATGAACCACTCGAAATGCTTGTGCGATGGGCAGATCCATAAAAAATAGACCTGCGAGACAAAAGGAGACACGGTGAAAAACGGGACCGATTTCTTATTTTAAATGAGCCGTTAAATTCAACGCAATGGATTATATACATATATACATATATTCCAGTTACATTCGCGTTTCTCTTTCGGCAGTGAAACAAACTTTCCAGTAATGAAGCAATCGCCGCTTTTGCATCAACCTTGTCGTAACGACAACATTTTTACATTAACATAATATTTTTTCAGGAATACTTCTTGGCTTCTCAAACGATTAAAAAGGTTAAACGTAGTAAAAAGTAGTTAAAAATACAAGTATTTAACTTACAAATTACTTACCTATCTTAAAGTTTCGTTTACAGAATAAATATAAATAAATACATTTTTTAGTTATTTTTTTTGTGAGATAACAGAAGACGTCTTGAATGTTCTTTGCTCAATTATTTTCTTCACTTGATTTTCCCACTCACCTTCTTACACGCGACGCCCGAATATCTGTTGGTAGACGTTCCAAACACGAGGTCGTTGAGCATCGAGGCATAGGGAGTCACCCCGATGCCTCCTCCGACCATCACCGCGACCTCGAACTTGTACCAATCCTGATTTCCCCCACCGAACGGACCCTCTATACGAATTTTCGGATGATCCTCCGGACTGTAATTGCAGGGATCGAAGTAATTACGGAGCTTCCACGTCCACGGTCCCTGAGCTTTTATGTGACACGACAAGAAATTCTCGTGCGGTGCCGAGGTCAGCGTGAAGGAATGAAACTCGTTGGACCTGAAAGCGGTGCAGGCGAGACGCACCCACTGACCCGACAAATACTTCAAGTTCGGAGGCCTGTAGAATTTGATCTTTATCACGTCGGAGGGCAGTAATTCCGTCTCGATGATGTCCAGGGCCATGTATTTCGTTCGCAGACTGACGACCTAAAATCGTGCCACTCTCGATACTCAGTACTAGGTTTGTCGCGTTATTAATGGATATCGGACCATTTTAGATTGCGACATAGGACGCGATTTGCATTTAAAAAAAATAAAATAACGAGTAACGTACAAGATTTGTTACATCATATCACAATCTATGTATAATTAATAAGGTGTTTTAATTATATGCATGATGTCGAATGCGATGCATACAGTCGTGGTCAGAAAGGTTGTCCGGCGTTTTATGATTAATTTCGGAATTACAGTCTATCGGGCAAGAGATTACAGCTTTTGCTCACGGATATGTGCAGTAACGCATTATTAGAGCAAAGGAATGATATGTGCGAATATTTATGCAATGTTACATACGAATATTCTGAAAACTTATTGTAAAACGTCGGACTACCTTTCTGACTATGACCGTACATGTACCAGCTATACTTCTGCATGCATAAGCAGAAAGTAGAGAGTTTTATCCTTTGTCGCTGTACTACTTTCAGAGAAAAATGTGTGTTTAAAATTACTTTGTCCAGCGCATAAATGATTGCCGGGCCGATGAAGAATATCCAGAATCGTGGCGCGCCCGTCAAACGGGCCAGACCGTGGATCAGGCAGAGTGCATACAGGACAACGTACAGACTATGCGTTGACCAAAAGAACTTGTACGCTTTCTGCCGTATGGTAGGATGTGCAAAGACGAATATGATCGTCATGATGACGAAGAGGAAAATACCGGTTAAACCTGCGAAACGAGGAAACGAATCGTTAGCGTTCAGGATGTCCAACGAAATTGCGAAATCTTTGACGAGAGCGCCTACCGGTCACCGTTCTGAATAGCCAAAAGGAGATAGTCGGCCGCGCGTCGCTGGGAAAGCTGATTTCACTGGTGAGGCAGCGAAGATGCGCTATCGGCTGCGTGGAAACGTGATAAAAGTTGACTATGTGACCAACCGTGTGCAGCACGGAGAAAAAAAGTGCCGTACACGCTGCGATCTTGTGGAATTGTATGTGCGAATCTAGCGGGATGTATTGCTGGATCGAGAATTCCTTCAGTTTCGTCAACAGATTACGCGACATCGTTAACAGCACAAGACTGTAGCAAAAGGACAGTGCGGCCGCTGATCCTCTGGTTATGGCGATCCCCACGCCCATTATGTGTCTGAGATCCGTATGTTCTGCCATAAAAGAGTAATCTACGAAAAAGAGGCGGAAGGTTGGAATCTTGCGATAAATAAGCACAAACATAGAATGCTTTCAGAATTGGTCAAATGTTTAAAAACTGTCTTAAAGACATCTAGAAAATTAACGATTTAGAATCAGTTTCACAAACGTCGGTTAACTGTTAACCAGAGCTCAGTCGACTCCCTATCTTTTACCATCTTATTATTTAAGAAGAGACAGAGAACCAATTAACCTTCGCTTAGCAGTTAACCGACGTTTGTGAAACTGGCCATTAATGTATTGTTAGATATCTTTTTTCATTTTACTCAGGTCCTAATTAAGTACTCACGAATAAATCTCTCGACAAAGAGAGCTATGGTGACGACGTAAAAAACAAAGAGGTAGAATATATTCTGCCTGTTCTCTTCGAGGAAGGTCGATATGCCGTCCCACTGTTTACGCGTCCAGCTCTTCGAATCCTCCGGCGGCAGTTGATCGATGTGAAAGCTAGTCATGCGGGCGACGTTCGTCGACGTGTCGAGGAAATTCTGCTTGGCGCCTTTGCAATCGAGACCGATCGCAACGAAGTCGCCCTTGTACTCCTTCATCATCAATTTGAAGTCGTTATACGTGAGATAGTCCTTTCTCTCGAGTCCGGCGTCCTGAATAACGGGATTAATCAGTCGTCGCGGTAACGGAAGATACACTTCGGAAGACGGGCAACATGGGAATCCATGATGAGGTGAAGCTGGATAAAAAAAAACGCACCTGGAACATGCCGTCGATCAGTTCCGTGACGTGATCATCCGAGAGACTCGTGGTACGAGCTATTTCCACGAGCGACCTCAGCATCTCCGACAGCTCTTCCTTGTCGATCACGCCGTTGCTGTCCTTGTCGCACATGTCGAAGATGATGCGCAGCTTGTCCTCGGTTTTGCCACGCGAGAACAGCAGGACCGTGTCCAGGAATTCCTGGGGATTTGAGTCATTAGCGATCGGCCGGCAAGAACGAAAGTTACAACGATGGGACAGAATATGATACAAGCGCAGCTTCGAGCGAACGAGGATCATACCTGGAAGGAGATCCGGCCGTCGCCGTCTTTGTCGACGATGTTGAACATTTTCTTCACGAAGACCGCGTCGGGCCTCATGCCGAGAGCACTCGCGAATTCGCTCTTGGAAAGCGACGTGCGCATCACCGTGACGACCTCCCCGGTGTCGCTGTCTTCGGATCGCCGCCTTCGTTCGCCGGGCCGCAGGCCGAAAGTCAGCGCGTACGCTTCTCTAAAGAACTAAATACATTTCGCGTTGTCATCGGAAAGTTCATAAATCTTCCATATATGTATAACAAATACTTTGAGCACCTTTATTACTTGTAGCAAGAAGTGAACTAAACTCTACGAAAACTGTATTGTCCCCACATGTTAATATCCTTCTCTTTTTATTATCAATTAAGGAATTACTGTTACTCCTTTCTGAGGCCTTGATCAACCTTCTGATGCTCAACGAAGCTGCTTATGCATTCACAAATGTGCAGCATACAGAGGATGTAGAAAAGACGAACCTGTTCGAGCTTCTTTTGCCGGCGCTCCTTGGTTTCCGCTTTTGCCAGCATGATATCCCGCGCGATCGGCGTGAGTGTGAAATGCTTTTTTTGCGACGCCAGAAACGCCTCCAATTTCGCAATGAACTTTCTACGCGAAGCCAACGAATCGAGTTCAAGGACAAGGTCGTAATCGCGCGGTATACGTAACAGCACTAGGGCCTTACGATGTCCGGTTTCGCTCTCCTGGAACCGCGATTAATAATTATCGAGTGCGGCGTGACGTTAAAGAGTCAGCTCTCACTTAATGAAACGTAGGATTAATTCTCGACACATTTTCGAGTA